TGAGGGCCAGAAATGACTCTCCGTAGCCGCGGGGTCGAGCTATCGGATCGCAAGCCATCAGCGACGATGGCCTGCCGAGGTTGCTCTGCTTCCTCAAAGTCGTCTGGGAGTCTTCGTTTTTTGCCGGCGGAAGGCATCTCCGTTTCCGTGGGTGGAGTGCTTGAGGACGGTCTGCCTCTTTCGGGTGTCCTTGCCTTGAAAACAGTAGGATGTACCGACCGTTCAGGAGTTTTTGGGCGTGGCACCGTTGAAGGGCCTGAAGTTGCTCTAGCGTGTGCAGCGGGTCCGGCCGATGCGGAGGGAGTTCGGGCTGAGGGAACGGAGGCCATGGCACGGACCGGTGGTAAGGAAGGGACAGGAGGAACCGCTGGGGATTGAGTGGCTCTCGAAGAGATGATACTTGTAGGCGCGGATTGTGCTGCAGTAAAAGATTCTCGCTCTTTTGCGGCGGTGACTTTGGTTTGCAGATTTGTGACCTTTCGAGTTAGCGAGTCCACCTTGGCCACCAGCTTTTTCTTCTCCTTGAGCATCCTGCGCCACACGGAATACGCGTTAGTCTTTCTTAAAAAAAATAACGGCAGACGAATGCTCTTACTCGATGAACCGGTCGTCGTTATCCTCAATTTCGGCGCACTTGTTCCGTAACAGCTCTTCCATCTCCTGGTTCTTCTCCTGGAGCTCCGCAACTACTCCCTCAAGACTGGGGACAGCCCGAAGCGTAGATACCTCGCGACGCAGTCCGGCGATAAGCCTTTCGTGTTGCGCGACTTGCAACGTAAGCTCCATCTCGATGGCTTTACCAGATTGCTCGGAGTGAGAGAGGTCGGCTTTCGTTTGCTCGATGACACTTCTCAGAGACGCGATCGTAACTTCACTGTAGGGGTGTCAAGTTAGCCTTAACTACTCTGCTAATACCATACGGACACAGTGCGTACCTCTCTTTCACTTGGCTTTCCAAAAAGCGTGTCAGCGAGAGCGAACGCTGAATCTCGGCCTCCAAATTCGTTGTCTCTATCTGGAGGGACGCCCTGTCCTCCTGCAAAGACTGGATTTCCAAGGTCGCCCGAACCGCCTGCCCGCGAACAGTAGCCAACTCTTGACGCAACTCTGTTTCAGCTGCATTTGCATTCTGATAACGCTCAGTCAATGCCTGCAACTCCGAAGTGTGCACCTCCTGCTGTTTCGTATGCGCGTCGATCTCCGCCTGAAGCCTGGTCTGAAGGCGCGCATATTCGTCCTCAGAGTGTTCGAGCCGTGCCTGCAAGTCGCCAAGCTTCTCCGCATGTTTGGACACGAGATCAGCCAATTCGTTTTCGAACTGCTTGTTAGCGGCTTGTGTGCGCTCGGAGGACTGGACGAGATGGCGCTCATGATCTTCCTTGAGCTGGGTAAGCTCATCGACGATCTGGCGGTTGCTGAGTTCCAGGTCCGCCATAGCTTGCTTAGTCTGCTGCGCATCCGCTTCCGTAGCGTCGAGGCGCTCCTGTAGACGCTGAACCTCGACAGTGTGGTCAGACCGTAGCTGGATGAGATCGTGCTCCAGTTGTTCCCCAGCTTCAATCTGGCTCGACAATGCCGCCAATCGTTCATCGAATAGCCGCTTGGCCTCCTCAGATTCGCGGATGATTTCGTCGTGGCGATTCTGGAGGTCGGCAAGTCGGCTAGCAGCGTCCTGTAACTCGGAGGTGCTCTGCTCGAGACGGGCACTCAAGTCAGATACTTCTGCGGCATGCAGTGTTTGAAGCGCCTCCATCTCCTTTCCGGCGTCATTGCTCTGGAGCAGAGCGCTCAGTTCGTCAACGCGCGTCTGGAGGGTATTATTCGCGGCTTTAGATGCGGAGAAGGCGGCAGCGTGATTTCTTGAAGAGACTTGCGCCATGGCGAGAGCGACCGTTATCTGTCGCGCATCGTCTTCCGAGTTTCGCAGTGAGGTTTGCAGTTCACTCATTATCGCTTGGCGTTTGTCGAGCAACTGAAGCGCATCGGCGTGGTCAGAACGAACCGACGCTAGGTCCTTGAGCACGACTGCGTGGTGCTGTGCAAGATCCTCAGCCTTGCGGGCGAGTGCTACATCCTCAGTAGCACGCTTGTTCGCAACATTCGTCACGTCGGTGAGCGCCCGCCGCGACCGCACGACCGTGTCCGCGACAACCTCGACGACGGCCATCACCTGCTGCTCCCGCTCGACCTCCAGCGCCTCCACGCGTTCCTCCAGGCTCTCGACCTCCTGCTCCAGTGCATCGACGCGCTGGACCGCCTCGTCCCTCGCCTCCCGCGCGTCAGCGCAGTCCTCCACCATCGCCTCCTTCTGCGCGCCAAGGGTCTCGAGCTCCGCCGTCATCTCCGTGATGCGCTCCTCCTGGAGCCGGAGGTTCGTCTCGAGGCGCTTGATGTCGTGCTGGTGCACGCCGATCTGCTCCGTCCTGCGCAGCACGCGCATCTCGAGCTCCTCAATCTGCTGCCGCAGCGCGCGCGTGGCGTCGCTCGCGGACATCGACGAGAGCTGGTGCATCTGCAGCGTGCTGTAGCGGCTCTCCGCGTCGACGAGCTCCTGCTGGGCAGACTCCAGGTCGGACTGGAGGTTCGTCACCTGGAGATTGAGCGAGTTGCGTTGCGTTTCCACGTCCTCCAGGGCCGTGTTGAGCTCGGTGATCTGATCTTCCAGCTGTTTCACTGTCTCCGCGGTAGCTTGCTGTTCGGCGAGCACGTCTTCGGCATTGGACTCCGCGGCTAGCTCCTTGGACTCGCTAATGGCGCGTAATTCTTCCTGACGGGTTTCCGCTGCCCTCAGGTCCAGGAGGGCAGCCTCCAGCTGTGTCTCTACGTGTGATAGCCGCGCCGTAGTCTCTGCGAGACTTGCCTCTTTCTCGCGAGCCTCTTCGAGAGAGCCTGCCAGTTGACTTTGCAAGGTCTCGACCCGTTCGGAGGATTCAGCAGCGTGAACGGCGAGCGAATCGACTTGGGATTGCAGTCGGACAATGATGACACCCGCGACCTTGGCTGCAAAGTTGGCGCGCTGGGTGTGCTTCTCCTGGGTGCGTAAGATATCGGCTTCGCGGGCAGACGCTTCAGCAAACTGCTGTTTCAGAGTGTCGAGCTCGGTAGTGCTAGTCGATGTGCTAGCGATCTTGGCCTCCAGCGCCTGGATGGTGAACCTGTTCTCCGTCTCAACGAATTGCAGGTCACGCCGCAGCCCGTCTCGCTCGTCGCGCAACCTGTCGACAGCACCGAGGAGGCGCTCAATGTACGTCGCAACGGCCTCATCGTCGTGCTTCACGGGCGTCTCCACGACGGCCGCTGTCCGTTGTGGACGGGGGGTGGACTGACCAGACGGTAACGTCGTGTTAGAGTCAAAGTATAACCCGCCGCCGAAGCTCGGACATGCCTTGTCGTCAAACGAGAAATCTAACCGGCTTGGACGGGCTAACTCAGCCGCTGCTAGCTTCTGCTTGAGATCCCTGTATAATCCGTGAGCGCGGGTCGAGACGGAAAAGAAACACAGAACGCACTCTTCGGAGGCGCGGAGGGCGGCGATGCTGTCCTGTTTCTCCTGTACTGTCTGTCTGAGCGAGGCGATCTCCGTACGCGCATCCTCAAGATGGTCGAGAGCGGCCTCCTTCTCTCGCACAAGCTCAACATGGGTGGCTTCGCTGCGCGACACCTTGGCGATCTCTGCCCGCAGCTGCTGCTCGGTCTTCTGCAGAGCCATCTTCATCTTGTCCATGTTCTGAGCATCGCCGAGAAGCGTCTCCATGGCGGCTATCTTCGCCTCGTCCTCGTCAATCCGTTGGAGAAGTTCTTCCTCCCTCTCCCTCGAGCAGCCGCCGCCCTGCGCCCTGAAGTGCTCCAGCTCGTCCTCTTTCTCTTCCAGCGAGTTCTCCAAGTCGAGTATCCTCCTCTGCATCTCTTTCTCCATGGCGATCTTCTCGTTCTCGATCTTCATCAGGTCCGCCTGCACGCGCGCAAGCTTCGTGCCCGCACTGCGCAGGTCCGCGTCTTTCTTAGCCGACGCGGCGCGCACTTCTGCGAGTTCGTGTTCGAGATTCGGTGTGTTGAAGTTGTTGACGGAGGACGAGCGGGCACGGGCTGGGCGCGGGATGCCAGTGCTCGGTGGACGCTGCGGCCGGGCCTCCACCTGGAGTTCGCGCACGCGGGCCTCGAGGGTAGCCTTTTCGCGCTCGAGCTTGAGCTGGCTGGCGGACGCGGCGTCGGAGCGGTGAGAGAGGGTGTCGATGGCGGTCTGGAGCTCACGCGATGCGAGCTCCTCGGCTTTGATCTTGTCCTGGGCGGCTGTGAGGGCCTCTGCGGCGTTCTGGGCGTGTATCTTTTCGTTGCGCAGGTCTTCTGAGCATCGTGCGTAGTCGCGTTCGAGTTTGAGCGCACGATTGGCTTCGTGCGCGAGCTGCGCGAGGTCAGTTGAGCGATCCCCCGGGAGAACGGAGACGTTACCTTGTGTAGTGTTTCGTTCAATGTCGTCTTAAGTTCGTCGAGTTCGGTATCGCGTTTCATGAGTTGTCCTTGGAGAGAGGCGCATTGCGTGTCTAAACGTAGCTGTCTTCAGTGGCAAGCCTTGACGACCTGCAGACGAGACGAACCTTTGCTGGCGAGGCGGTTCTTGAGGGTCTGTGTTTCCTCGGATACATCGTCTTTACCGATGTTCCAGGAAGACATGGCGGTGCCGGTAGAAGGGGGAAACGCAGCGGAAACAAGGTCAAGTAAAAGGTTGAAATGAAAGTAAAGAGAAATGCAATAATTCGAACGACAGTGCAGTTAACCACATGACCGTGAATCACCATTTTGGGCATGTGGCTGCTCCTCATTGTCCTCCAGACTCCAGTTCGACTGTTGTCTAATCGTCTCGGAGACTAAGACAAGCAAGATAATACAGTATCCTTGTGGGTATGTACGGATCTCTATCTGGGGTGGAGGACGTGCGCGCAAAAACAATTACAGGGAACCCAGTTTCAATCAACTCTCACAGCTCGAGTAACAAAAGATATTGACTAGACCAGGGCTCGAACCTGGGGCCTTCTGTGCGCAAGTTCTCGGGCTTCAAACCGTTGAATGTTAGACAGATGCGATAACCAACTACGCCACCCAGCCGATGGACCCTTGTTTGAAGATGCCCTCCATTATCAGCACAGCTCTTGGGACCGCGGTTGAACCCAACGAATCGGAGTTATATCAAGCCTAGACCGAACCGTAGTCAAAGCGTAAATCCCCGAAGTTCTGTTGCTGAACCAGCAGTTGAAGGGCCTAACCTGGTCTAACTAAGCGTCGAGCGACCGTCGAAATGTAGCCTCAAGGATACGAGTTTCCTTATACGGATGGAAGCCTTAATTTATGGCGTAGCGGTGGTTTTAGGCTACTCTTTGCCAACCAAATTTCTCGACCGCGCTGCAGACACGATTCCAGGTATTTCCGAGCTTTCGACATCCTTCCGTCTGGCAGAACGTTTGCTGGATAAGTACTGCCAGTGGGCAGCGATGTGGAGCGCCGTGCTAAACTGTTATTGGCTCGGTATATTATCGAGGAATATTCAGAAAAGGTATAAGATCGATCGTGGGCCATGACGTATTTGGCGCTGGCTCCTCAGAAACTTGCGCGCCCGGCACCAACCCATCGCGATTGCCTCTCTCCTTCGTACCACGACGACCCGCCCTGCAATTCGACTTGTATACACGAATCCATCTGCTTTTTTTGCCGTTTCTCAGCCCTTCAAACGCGCCGTGAGTTCCTCTAGTTGTGTCGCTACAGTCGTCTCATTGACGCACGTTTTCGCCCTACGAACAGCGACCAAATTCAACAGTAGATCGTCCAACACACACAAATGGCAAACCTTGTCGAAAACCGTGCGGGTGTCTCGGGTGCCTCGGGCGCCTCGGGCGCGCCGTCGCGCGTGACTCTGCACCTTGGCCATTTGCCGAGCAAGAAAGATATCAAGGCGCCATGGCCTCGCACGCCGTCCAGGGTATGTACACCCGCTGTCACGTCTGCGCCGTATTTCTGACGCGTAGTCGGAATCTTAGATTGACCCCAACAATCCGCCCTGGCCTGCGTAATCGTCTTTGTTCACTCCCTCCGTCGAAACCTCACCTCACTGAGCATTGCAGGTACCGCGGATACCATGAGTACTCCTTCGCTTACGCGACTATGGGCCACCGTCTTCCGACGATTCTTGGAAAGGCCATCGAAGACACGACGCGCACGCTCAACGAGCAGTCGTCCGAAGACAAAGTTGTCGACCTGGTCGCATGTATTGACCGTATGCACGACCTTATGCACGATCTCACGGGCAACGGGAAGCTCCGCCCCATTATCGACGACAATGAGGCAGACGTCGCTCTTTGGAATAAAGAGATCGCGAAATACTTTCAAGGTTAGCAACAAAACGCTGAGTTTTCTGCAGCGACTAACGGCTCCACGTTAGGCAAGGACTTCATGAACGCCCCTTGGCTGTTTGCAGAGGCATACAAGTACCGCCGTCTGCACGAATGCTTTAGCGTGAGCAAGTACTGGCTCGACTACGATGTCTTTTACAGGCAGAAGGTGAGGGTCACGTCCGACTCCGGTCTCTTCATCCATTGATCATAACACAGTGCGATACGTTCTCGCGCTCGTCGGATGCTGTCTTCGAGCTGTCCATGCGTTTCGCTGAACCGTACAACAAGTTGGCCAGCGGCAAACCCTTCGATAATCTAGAGGCTGAGCGATTGATGTTCCTCGAGCTCACGCAAGGTAAGTTCCGCGTCGTATGTATCTAACATCGCCGAGCCAACGTGATTGAACCTATGTACAGTGTGCCTCTGGGGTAACTCGACTGATCTCTCCCTTCTCATCGACATGTCGGAGGAACAGATCAAGTCCCTCCAGTCCACGGGCGGAGACCACCTCGCAGCCACCGAGAAGAACATTCTCGGAAACCACCTCCCGCAACTCTGGGACACTGTCAAGAACCTCCGCGAGAAGACCGGCGGTCGCATCGACTTTGTGCTGGATAACGCTGGATTCGAGCTCTACTGCGACTGCGTCTACGCGGACTTCCTCATCCAGAGCGGCCTTGCGAGCCAAGTGCGATTTCACGGAAAGCGCTTCGCGTGGTTTGTGTCGGATGTGACGAAGAAGGACTGGGAGTGGCTGCTCAATACGATGGTGTACGGGCAGCTGTTCCCCAACGCTTCCGAAGCGGAGATACAGTCTCTTCGGCACCTCGGGGCTCGCTGGAAGGTACGTCAGACCGCGTGTTATGTCCGTCGCGCTGTGCTGAAAATGCGATACAGCAATACGAGAAAGAAGGCAAGTGGGTGTACGAGCAGCACCCCTTCTGGTGCACGGGATACACCTTCTGGGACCTCCACAACGAGGCGCCCGATCTCTTCCTCCACCTCTCGCGCTCCGACCTCGTATTCTTCAAGGGCGACCTCAACCACCGCAAGCTCACTTACGACTGCGCGGCCCCCGCGTCGACGCCTTTCGAGATCGCTATCGGGCCCATGGCTAACGCTGCCGGTGCGCCGAAGGTATGCAGTTTGCGGACGATCAAGAGCGATGTGGTCGTCGGACTTGGGGACGACGGTGATGCACTTGCGGAGAAACTGGACAACGAGGAGAAGGGCTGGAAGATTAGCGGAAAATATGTGCGTAGTTTGAGTCTGCGTCTATATCTGCAGATGGCTGACTGGGCGCGCGTGTCAGGCTGTTGTGCTCCTCAGCGAGGGACGCCCGGGCGAGAAAGTTCGTTTTGCATGAGAACTTAGAAGAATGCGGTCATTCCTTTTACTGGATAGTGAGTTGATGTATGCTGTGTGTTGTTGTGCATCATGGGCTGATATAAACAGTGGGTGGCTTGTAGTATTGCGACTGTAGATGTGTAAGACATGCCTGGCATTTGCATTTCCATCAGTGTGGATCAAAACATGTATTCTCACCTTGTACAAATCGATCAATTCAACCAAATCCTTTCACTTCCCTTTGAGGGAGGAGCACTCATGTTTTCAAAGAGATAGTTCGGGCACTTCTTGAGGCCTATCTTACCGATATGTGGCGGCGATATCTTTACGAGGGTCCCAGGACCCATACTTAAAGTGCACAGAGAGCAAGGAGAGAGTAACAAGCATGACAAGTGATGATCGTGAGGAAGTGAGGATTGATACCAAGGAGTTACAGTCGTATACACGCACAGTATTAATCGGCTGCTTGAGGGGCACCAGGCTTATAAAATCCGCAGACTTTCAATTGCCTGAGGACATTGCGGCCCAGACGAATCAGGATGCTATCTCTGGTGTCGGTGGGCGAGGAGACTTAGCCATCACGACTAAAAAAGGACACAGGAATGAGCAAGACGGCTAACGGCAAAGAAAACAAGCAGCTCACCAAGCTCTAAGTTGGACTCTGCGACTTGTGCAGGTTGATCCGACTCTTTGACCGTAGGTGGCTTGGCACAGGATAGCACAAACATCCCGGGGATAACGACACCCACTCGCTCCCGTATATACTCAGAGTTTGCGTCAAGACCTAGGAATTCGGTAGTCCCGCATAGCCATTCTACGTGGCGCAACCCGTTGAATATTGGGCCGATCAACAGGCGACCAGGTAGTTCGTCGGGAGGATTACGGCTGGCGTCGAAGGACTCCCACATGGCATCCTGGTGCGTCGGAAGCGCAGTGTCCATGTCGGTGTTGGAGAGGAACTGATACAGAAATCGATGCAGCTGCTCAATCACGTCGTGACAAGTGAGAGCAACATCTTGAGCATCCGACCGTATCTCGATCATCCACGGAAAACACGGCGAAATGACATGTATATTTGATAACCTCGGGAAGGTTGCGGGCTCGTTCAGCCTATCCGCCCACGCTTTCGGAGAGAGGGAATTAGATGGGCGGGCGTAAGAGTCAGGGTAAAGCAGATTCCATTTGATATGCGTCCGGTCGTCGTTGGCTGAAGGAAGGAATAACGGGTTGATCGACGGCTCGGCTAGTATAGCCTGAGCGAGGGGTGTAGTTAGTACGGGGGCGTCTGTTGTACGCATTGTTAGATATACAGATCGCGATTCAAAACCTCTTTAGACGCACAAGATCTGCCAGCCGACCATTTGTGAATCTGTATGGTTTCGAACTCTTGGGAATCTTCTCCGACGACGCCTCTAGGTCTCGGGAGAGGGGCACGATGGTAGATCGTCGTTGAGTGAGGCCCTACAACGATGTACGGCATTTTATCCGGCACAGCAGCCCATCCTACGCCTGGTATCACATGCGTCGCGTAGCCACTAAGCGGAAGCGGCGGACTACGACTGGCCCTCGCTAACGCATCATGGGTGAGCTGGGCTGTCTGGTGGTGATTGGCATGGCCACCCCGCCCGTGTACATTAGATGGAGGCGGTCGTAGTATTCGATGTCCAGACGTATGCAAAGTGGACAGATTATGTGCCGAGGAGGATGAATTCCCTCGATGTGCAGGGGGAACAGCATACGATATGCGTAAACGCTCGAAGCGATTCAACTCGCTATGCAGTTGAGATGACGACGCAGACGAAACCCCGGGAGACGGGCGAAGGGTCGAGCGGCTTGCGGGATCAGTGCGAGAGCGATCTGTGAGAGGTGGTATGGACATCGCAGACAAAGGAGGGAAAATCGTTACGGTGGGGGCTTCAATTTTGGGCTCCCCACCGAGCCGGGACCAAGTCAGAGTATTTATTTGACGTAGACCATACTCCTGACCGTGCGTTTTTATCAGACGCGACAATAAGCAGACAATAAGGATCATGCTCACCGATTGGCCGGCCCCAGTGAGGAGCTTCGCATAGACCGAGGTGAATTATAGAGTAACGTATGCAGCCCTGGGCGAAGCGTGAAACGAGATCGTCCCCGAGGGACGGTGAATGGCAGCCCAAGTGTATCAAGTCAGAAGATGGTGTACTGCCGAGCGAATGTCAGCGTGCATATCGGATGCGTTCAGGTGTACACCTACTTGCCTAACTTTTGGGACAAAAAGAAACAGATGCAGGACTTTCTAGCGATGACAATACGGAGAGCAGAGTATTGATAGAGACTCACCGAATTCGGCGTATGTTGGTCTCCTTTAGCAGACGAGAGACAATTCTTTCA